AATTCGTCCACTTTGTTCTAGGTTTTATTGGGCAGTTTTCTACATTTTAATTTAATTTAGTTTAGCTTAATTTTTTCTCAGTTAAAAATATTTTGTCTGAATTGCAAAATTTTATCAATTAAATCGAAATTATAACATTGTTGAGGAATATATTTAAGAAATTATATTCAAAATAAGTCACATCAAAGTATATTTGAAGCTACTCTCTCTAATTTATCAATTGAAGTTTAAACGGACCAAAAAAATTGAAGTTTAAACTCAATGAGAGATAAAATTTGGGTATGCTCTCTCAAGCTTAATAAAAACAAAAATAAAAGTTTAAAGACGGAAAATGAATAAGCTAAAAGCTAATTGGTCAATTTAAACTTAATAAAAACACAAAAGTTTAGAATTGACAAATGAATAAGCTACGATCTTATTGGGCAATCACGGGTCACGGGGCAAAACTATGCTTCTTAGTCTTACGACGTGACAATCACGGAGGCGAAACGAAGCTCCACATGGCGAACACGAGAGGACAGTCTCCGGATTCCGGCTTTCACCACAGATAAATAGATAGATGCGAATCGCCCGAAAACGATTAAAGAGAAAAAAAGAAAAAAGAAGAAAAAGAAGTGCTCGGGAACAAACTTCTCGAGGCGACTCTGAATCATAGTCAATGATGAAGGCAGGCGATCAATAATTCAATGAAGTGTAAAGGGCGAGGGAGAGAGAGAGAGAGAGCGATGGACGCCACAAATTCTTGGTTGTGGGGTTCACGTACTAGCGCAAAAGGGACGTCCTTTTTGAATCTTTTCGTTCAATCAATTCGCATTTTCTATTTGCATTGTTATTCAAATCCTTCTCCCCCTAAAGTCGTACCAACATTCCCTTCTTGGTGCACCATCCACGCCTAGAAAGGCCTAATCATGAGCCCCCTCTCGGATGTTTATTCTGCCCCCGACCTTTATCTTCTTATGCAAAAATACTCACCGGAAAAAAGCGTCTAAAAGCTAACTTATTTTCAACCGTCACGGCTCGATTTATGCTCGCTGAATCATCGCATATCATCCCGGCGCATTGGTTTTTCGATGATGTTTTATGATCCTGCACGCCATGCATCGACGTTATCCAGCTTTTTCAAATGGAGGGAATTTATAACTTTGCTAGAAAGCAAAACTGAGAACATGATTTTTTTTTGAAAATATGATTGAAAAAGGAGGAAATGTAATAATTCCTTACTTTGGAAATTATATTTTAACTATCGCCGGATGAGAAGGATTTAATTTAAGCAGAAGTTAAGTCTCTTCTTTGTTCTTAGGCTAAACTCAAAATATCAGAGAGCAGAGGCTTAGTCTTCCAGCTTGAATTAGAAAGAACAGTATTACAAATTACAATAAAGAACGCTTTCAAATGCAATGTGTAGTCTATCTCACCTGAACTTTAACCAATGTTCAATTTGGTCCCTAAACTTTTAATATGTGTTCAATTTAGTCCCCGAACTATATGAAAATGTTCAATATAGTCCCCGCACTTGAATTAATGGAAGGACTATATTGAACATTTTCAAATAGTTCAGGGACTAAATTGAACACATATTAAAAGTTCAGAGGACCACATTGAACAAATTAAAGTTCGTGGGACCAAATTGAACATTAGGTTAAAGTTCGGGGACTACATTGAACAAATTAAAAGTTCGAGTGACCAAATTGCACATTGAGTCAAAGTTCGGGGACTGCTTGTGTCATTTTCCCTACAAATTACAATAAAGAACGCTTTCAAATGCGATGCCTGTGCTCTTTCACTTAAATGGAAGCGTGTTCGTCCTTCGCTTATGGCCGAATGCAAATCACCACTGGAGCATTCTCCTGGAGCCCAAAAGCACAGACCTATGCGTGTCCGAAAAATCTCGAAAGTTCCTCTCTATTTATTTTATTTTATGCTGTTAAGATTAAGTTGTGTGTAACTAAAAAAATTTGTTCGAGTCAGGTACAACCCACACAAGAACCTCCTCCTCCTCCTCCCTACTAACTCACCTATCACCTCTCTTTGTTCCTTTCTTCAATCCACCCGTTTCATTTTTGAGATAAAAAAATCCGATAATCATTTAATCAAAACTGAGTTTTATTTGAATTAAAAACAGAGAGGAAAAAAAACACAGCAAAATGACTTCTTTTTAAAAGAAAGTTCAAAGTAAAAACAAATCTAGATCTAGCGAATTTAAACAAATAAAGATTCCTTCCATCATTTTCAAATTAAAATGATCAATAGAAAAAGCTAATCACACGCACGATTACTAACAACATCTGATTGAGACAGTGTAATTAAGCGACAACTATGGACGGGCGAGAGGCAGCGACCACGATAGCTCCCACTTCGCAGATAACGATAACAATTGCAAATGAAATAATAGCGCAAGTCCCTTTTCTCATCGACACACCTAAAGTTCCACTATGAAATTATCGCGAAAATTCAACGGGAACTTGGTATCGGAAGTCGTATTCTTCAAGGTATTATTTTAGCACTCCTTTTCGACCATTTCAACGCCTTCCCCTGTCCGGTGTCATCTTCAAAATAACGATTCAGTCTTCGCCCAACAAAGAAAGATAATAAGGGGATTAGTTCAAGTCCCATGTACCTAGCACCCTTCCTGGCTGGCATGCTAAATGGCGATGTCATCGCCGACGTCATGATCCTACGCTTGGTCAACATAATTATATAATATCTTTTTCCGGTACTATGCTATCATAGAGTCGCGTGTTTTTCTTGAGAAAATGAATAAGCGCGTTGGTCGTTTTCGTTCATGCCATACGTATCGTGTCATTGCAGTTGTCGGTTTACTTTGTAATTAACAAGATGCCGTAAATTAATAGTAGTTAGATTGTTTGATTTCAGAGAAATGATGAAGTTTTTGATTAGATTTTTTTTTTCTCTTTATACTAGCAAATAGAGAACGAGCAGATAGATTTAAGTTTGTGTGGAGAGTGATGAACGCTTGGATATGAAAAATTAATTTAGGAAAGAAATTTTAGTGATCGCGAGATGAGAGGGATTTGCATAAATTTACTGAGAGTAAGATATTTATGGGATACATTGACAATTACTTTTGACTGTTTAAACTACGATATTGTCCATTATTAGATATTGCAAATTATGAAGTAGTCTAAGTAAAATAAGACAAAACAAATTCAGGGTGCATCTTTTTTTTACGTGAGAAAATGATACAAACGGTCTAAGAACTTTGGCTCAATATGCCATGTCGTCCTTGAACTTTAATTTGTTTAATTAGTCTCTAAACTTTTGATAAATGTTCAATTTAATCTCTGGACTAGATTGAATCGAAGGATATAAATAATCCATGAACTATATTGAACAAATTAAAAGTTCAGAAATAACATTGTACATTGAGTTAAAGTTCTGGAACTATTTGTGTTTAAGAAATTTATTTCCTTGCTAACTTGCCTTCTAGAGAATTCAAGTCAATTTTTTCTTTGTGTAACAAGTCAAACTTTTTATTTAACACCAACAGGCCTCATTTGTTAGTGCGCATCTCTCTTCTCTACCTTATAAAACACTCAAGAGAACTTTCTCCTTTTATTAAACTTAGAAAGTTTCATGAAAATCCGTGCATTAACTATGTCAATTTAAAATTATCAACAAACTTGTTATTTTATTTCACGAGTCTTGCTTAAATTTAAAATTCAAACAGACGTTACTTGTTTCGCAACAATCGAAATCCATTTTAAGTGAATGTGATCTCGGAGACTATTTGGCTGCTGAATCGAAAAAAAGAAATATTAGCGTTTGGATGGACTTACATTTTGCTTTTTACTTAATCTAAACTTTGCGGTATACAAGACAAATCTGAAAGTTTTCGCATCAAACAAATTTTAACATGTTGGTTCACATATGACTTTCTATAATTATTTTGAAATTTGCATAGTATTTTAAATTTTGATGAAGAAGTAAAAAGTTGTTTTTTTCTAATTTCAAAAAGCATAAACAAACGGTGCTTCAGATTTGATTTTTTTTTCCCAGGGCAATCATGGATAAAAAAAAATGAAAGGAAAGGATTTAAAGAAAGAAAGAGAATTTGAGATTTAAATTCTTTTAGAAAGAGATTAAGAAAAAGAGCAAATAACAGTCATATTTCCTAGGAGGCGTGAGATTTATGTTTTAAATATTAAGGTTCTCTTTGTTTTGAAAAAAAATGGATAATTTGTAAAATATTTTCCTAAAATTGATAAGTTGTATCGCTTATAAAAACGAATGACCGAAAAATATTTTCATCGTCCACAAATATGTTTAGACATAAATCGTTATCGATAATGGAAATATTTTCTATCGACTAATTATTTCAAGCGATATAAGCGATCACTTTTAAAATAATATTTTATGAACCATGCATTTTTCACGAAACCAATGGAGGCTAAAAAGGCAAATCAAAGAAGTTCTTTCGAGCATTCATAAACACAATAAACGACATGTATATCTTTTTATAATTTGACTGTAGAGTGCTCTCGAGATACCTATTAAATAATCAAATAAGAAAAAACTTATGGTTTTAACTACACTAATTTCCGATATTATTCGTGATTAAATATGCTTAACAGATATCCTAAAACACTTGTTAATAGAATAGGTTTTTTTTTTTTATGGACAAGCCACTTCTCTCATCATTGATTTTGGCAACTTAATCAACTCCTAAACACATGAAATAAAACTAGATATTAATAAGATTAACCGATGATGGGGTTGATTTGTGGAAAGGGATATTAATGCCTTTCCATAATCATGTTGGGAATCAAAAAACACCAAAGTCAAAGTTTCTGGGAAGAGGTGCAGCGGAGCTTTTTCATCATGAGAAGTTTTTGGTCGACAGTTCCAATGGATGGGTCGGCCTTTTCGTGCGGGCGAGACCGGTGGTGGGTAGATCACGGTACGGCATCGCGCACCTGTCCCGTTCGGGACAGCGTATTTATAAATCTCCTTAATGGCGCGCCGGCCGAATTTGCTAAATTGCGGTCACCCAGTGGAGAAAACTCTTTAATCGCTTAACCAAATTGGCTGATGCTGATGCTGATGCTGATGCGGATGCTACATTGAATCTCGGTTTCCACGAGGCAACCCAAATATTGAAACTTTACCTTTGCCTCCTTTTCCCCTCTCGCTGTCTGTCTCTCTCTCTCTCTTTCTCCGTCTCTCTGTCTCTGTCTCTCTCTCTGTGACGCTCGAGAAGGACTATTATTTAGCTGAGAGCTCGGAGGAAGGGGGGACTCTTGCAGTGTAGGACGAATCTGAGCTCGACCCTCGATTTAGCTCCTCTCCGTTTCGGGGTAGTCACAATGGCCGAGGCAATGGTTTTCTTCGGGAAGGTGGGTTTCTTCCTTCTTGTTTGCTTTTGTTTTTCTCTCTGTTCGTTTGCTGCTGCTGCTGCTGCTGTGCTGTGGAAAAGTATGTCTCTTCTGGTTGAATGAGCAAAAGGGTCTTGCGTTCTGTGCTTTTTCTTTGAAGTTTTATCATGGTTGTGATTTTCAGGACATTGGGCTTTCTCCTTCCGAAGAATTAGCGCACTTGGCAGGAAAAAAACAGACTTCTTTTTGATGTTTTTGTTTGTATGACTGATTTTTGTGGTGTTTTTTTGGGGGAGGGGGTTGCTGAAGCAGCAACGAGGGTTCGATTAGGACGGCTGCTCAAATATTTAGTTTTGTATGTTTGGGCGTTGATTCTTAAACTAAGTATTCGACTTGACTTGTGAGTGCTTTGGGTTCTCTTTTGTTCTTCAATATTAAGTGCGCTCTGTACTCTTTTTCCTCTTGTAATTATTATCTTCTTCGTTGGTCTATTCAGTGCTGGGCTCATATGGTATTATTTTCTTTTTGGGTAAACCAAGCTTGAATTAGATTTACAACCATATCTGTCACATTAATTCAGCATCTTGTTTCTTTTTAATTTTTCATTTTTGGGTTGTTGACATGAGTTTACTCATCCTTTCTCTATGTGAATGGCAGGATACATTTATCATAAAGCCCCCCAAGAAATCTTCTCCTTTATTGTATAGGACGATAGTATTGTTGTTCGCGGTGATGTGTGGACTCTATATCTGCTCAATTTGCATCAGGCAGATAGGCAATCAGTCTAAGACTAGATTTCAGAACATCCAGATTGTTAAGGAGCCCTGTTGCACTGGCAATATGGAAAAATTCGAAAACCCTTCGATGCATTACCCGAGACCTCAAACTTTTAGCAGGTAAATGAGAATCATTCGCTGGTATTGGAAAATAAGCGTTCAGAGTGTTCACCTGATTTTCTTCTTTTTAATATAAACAGGCTTGAGTGTTCACATAATCCAGTGCGATTCTTCACGATCATATCGATGCAGAGATCAGGGAGTGGATGGTTTGAGACTCTTTTGAATAGTCATGTCAATGTTAGCTCGAACGGGGAGATATTCTCTGTTTGGAATAGGAGGAAAAATATTTCTTCTATCATACAAACGCTGGATAGAGTCTACAACTTAGACTGGTTCAACAGCGCTTCCAAGAACGAGTGTTCTGCTGCAGTTGGCTTCAAATGGATGCTTAATCAGGTATATTACTTGTTCATGTTGAGAATTCTTCGTATATGTTTTCAGATCCTCTCAGTTTATGGAGTCAATTTTGTATCTTCGGTTTACCCTTGAGAGACTGCCACATTATCTCAAGAAGAAATGATTGAATGAGATTGAACAAGCCAATCTGTTTTAGTTGAAATGTCTGCAAGCTTGCTATTTGTTTTAATTTTAAATTTCACTGGATGTAGTTTTCTTGCTGACATGATGCCTCGGTAGAGGATTTATTGGATCGATCATTACATTCATGGTGACATTTTAAGGGTGTAAAATGAAGATGTCTTGACATCCCCTAGAAGTGAGGGGCTCTTATTCTTTGATATTCTCGCTCTTCATAATCTTACTTTTCAGGTAGACTGTTGTAGAATCTGCTTAATAAAAATCAAAGCATATTTTGCTATGCATATAGCATTCAGTATCGGAATCAAAGTCCCAGTTGGATTGGAGTATTGTTGAGGTTTTATTACTGTAAAATGGATTTTGGTAAGGTTGGCTGAGATTGGTTCCGGTGACTTAAATGATAAAGCTGGAGATGAGGGGGCTTGGTTCTTCGATTAACCAAAAAGGAAAGAATAGAACCTGATCCATGTAGGAAAAGTTTAGAGGGAAAGAAGAAGGCACTTGTGAATGAAGGACAGAGCCTAAAGAAAAGAATCCGCGTTGCACCTATTCTCCACAACCGTCTTAACATACATATGATAATAATAATTCTGATCTTGTATTTAATTACAAAAATAAGTTTTGGAACAGAGGTTTAAATAAGTATTTAAGAAGCCAAAATAATGTCCTTTAAAAAAAATATAGGTAATAGTTATACAATTATAAGGTTGTGGTGGGGGGAACGTACGTTCAACTGCAAAGGGGTAGGTGTGTTCCTTCTTCTATTTGCTTAGGTTGAATGGCCCTTGCAAGAAATGCACATTGATACTTTACTGTAATGACCAAAAGGTGAAAAAGAATTGATATCTGTTTCTCACTTTAATTTGTGTTCCATTCCTTGATAATAGGCATGAAATAATTTAGAATGAAGCCAAATATATATTTTCACTTTGGTTTGAGTGGATGTGGCTTCTGACATTTTCAAGTTAGTGGCGTGCTCGCTGTGTATATGTATTTTTTATATGGTTATAAATTATATATATATATATGTTAGCGACCTCTGAATGGTTTGTCAGCTAAACTAGAATAAATGCATAAAGTTTTTGTATATTTTCCTTTTGCCAATACTTTTACCCTTTCACAGATGAGGCTATTACATTACTACGATAATTTGTGTAACTTCCAGGTGACAATACTTACAAAGTCTAAACCTGTACCAAACTTTTTTCATTTATTTCTTTTGCTTTTGGCCACTTAATTTGGCTGGGTCCTCTGGGAGGAGGTGGACTTGGTTTCTGGTCCTCTCTGTGTTTGGCAGTGAAGAAAACATTAGACTCTTTCAAGAGAAGCTTTTTCCTTCAACTGTATCCTCTATATAATAGTTGAAAGACTGTTACAGTCAATAAAAAGAGAGGATATTCATATTCTGGAATATTTCTGTATGTGGCCTGTGTGTAAAGTTCATGTGCTATAATGGAATTGATTCTCCTTTTTGTCCAGGTTTATCCTGGAAAAAGGAACAAGAGTCTTCTCTTTAGAGAGCTAAGAGTAGCTCTACATTAATTAAACAAAAACTATATAGTTGGAAGGTTACAGGATGGATTCCAATAATTTTTTTTATTATCTTTAATAGTGCTATAGAGTTTGGTCCCATGGGAGTCACTTTAGAGCTGTGATGTTCGAACATCTGATGCCTTTATTAAACAGTTAGATTCTTCAAGTTCTTCTCTGATTAATTGGCCTTTTCTTAGAATAACATGTGACTCAGCAATTAGCAGTTGCACTGAGAAGCAGCTTATCCAAGTATTGCAATTAATTTTGCTGTAAAAAACGTTACCGTTGAGCTGTGCTCTTTCCACCTTTGACCTTGTCTTGAATGTTACCTACATTTATTATCAGATGTTCACAACGAACATAATGTCAGGAATTGCGTATTCAATTCAAAGATGGATTAATAATAGAATAGGATTTATTTATACTCAAGAATATGGAAATATAAACTTGACGGCTTGAGCAAAAGCTTCTAAATGCTGTCTTCATCATCTTCAATGTCTTTACTTTATCTCAGCCTTTTTTCCGTAAAACGAGTATCTATCCAAACCTATGAAGTATATTTGTTTTTCTTGTCCTCCCATGTTTGCTTCAATGAATGTATAGTGCAATAGTTTATCCCCTTATCTGTGATTGATGCAGGGATTAATGGAACACCACAAAGAAATTCTAGAGTATTTGAACCGTAGGGGTGTCTCTGTAGTGTTTCTCTTCAGAAGAAATCTTCTACGTCACATGGTTTCGGTGCTTGCTAATTCCTATGATCGGTCGGCCAAGCAACTCAATGGTACCCACAAGTCTCATGTGCATTCACCAGAAGAGGTCTCTCTCTCTCTCTCTCTCTCTCTCTCTCTCTCTCTCTCTCTCTCTCTCTCTGCTTTTGTATATCCTTCTAATCTGGTGACTTTTTTCAGGCTGATACACTTTCAAGTTACAAGCCGACAATTAATTCCACATCATTGATAGATGATCTGAAGGAAGTGGAGGCGACAGTTGCTAAGGCTTTAGCATTTTATAACACCACGAGACACATCGTTCTGTATTATGAGGATCTCATAAAAGACCGAACTGTAAGTAGTGAAGCTCATTGATCTGGTTCCAGTCGATTATTTCCAGATTCTCCCTGTACACTTGATCATATTGCAAAATTCGACTTGCACGGGTAAAATATTTGATCTCGCCTCTAATTATTTTCTTCATTTGCTTTTAACTTCTTTCACAGAAACTAAAAGATGTTCAAGAATTCCTTAATCTGCCGGTAATGAAACTTACGAGCCGTCAGGTTAAGATACACAGAGGGCCAGTGTCTGACTTGATTAGTAACTGGGACAAAGTCAACTGGGCACTCAGCGGAACTGTTTACGAGAGCTTCATCCATGATGACTACTGAATCCAGGAAACTTATAACTTATACGATAGTGTGCTCTGTATATATACGCAGTCAAGCTCTCTCAAATAGTTGTTACTGCAGAAGCTAACCAACACCGATGGTGATGTCCCGAAATTTGAGCGGCTGCAACGGTACAGCGCAACAACCAAATTTCGACTCCTTTGATACTCTCCTCAGGCCGACCTTGCGTGCAGTTCTGCTGAAATTTTGGATGAGACTGGTACGACTCTCGTTTTCTTTTCTTTTCTTGTCAAATCAACACCTTGTTGATCCTAGCAAGAAGAACCAACACCTTGCCGATCCTTCCAGTTCCTTTGTAATAGAAGCCGTGTACATGTACCGAAACAAAATTGAGAAGAGGTTGTAATGAGGCTGAGAGTGATAATGAAGTTCAGAGTTAAACACCAATAGTGGTTTGATTTTATGCCTTCTCTATTTCCTTGCCCTTTCATTTGTTTGCGAGATTTCAAGAAGGAACCTTTGAATTATGACTTCCGTCTAATGTTTGTGTCCGAGATAATGTAGCCTTATTACATTGATGAAGTGAACGTATGTTAGGCCTCGATTAGGTTTCAAACATAGATTGTTACAACTCGCAAGAAATATTGGTAGCAGACACTTTTTTCTTTCTTTTTTAATTCTTTGGACAAGTTAAACTCTGACGTGCACATGAATCGCTCGTCTAGTCGCAGCTAGTGTGCTCTCTTATTGTCTTTGTTGAAACATCATTGGTCATAAAACTAGTGACACTGACATTGAGAATGAATTTCAATACACGACGAAGTTGCACAAGAGGTCTTCCATCGGGGTGCTTGGTATGATAATGGCACCGAATACGACATGGATCTGTCATAAACGGTGGGATCGGACATTGAGAATGAATTTCAATACACGACGAAGTTGCACAAGAGGTCTTCCATCGGGGTGTTTGGTATGATAATGGCACCGAATACGACATGGGTCTACCAGAAATGGTGGGATCGGATTAGGGTTGGCATCTCATGTTTTCGCATATGCAGTTATGTCCTATCAAAATCGTGTTTGTATCAAATTTGTCTCATTTGATGAGGACAATTATTTCATCATCGTGCCTGTACGGCATGTTTATTAATAGGTTAAATGACGTGACACGATTAACGCGTGAAATGATATCTTGTATGCCACTCACATCTAAATGGGCCATTTTGGCACGACTAACTCGTTAGTATTTAATTAAACATGTCTGAGTATGTAACATACCCGTTGAAACGGCCAATTGGCTAATTGTTTGCGCATAGTTCGATTAATCCACTTGATACAAATACAACAAAATTAACCACATGCTTACTTACCAGTTGAAAAAAGGGTTTTTGTTGAAATTGATAGCCATATGTCAGAACTTGCAATTTGTCAACACATACATGCTATGAAAATTGGAATTTGTCAACTCAAAAAGTTGGTTCTCTAAAACTTCATATTTTCCAGGTCACATTGGAGGTAGTGCCTAAAAAGAAAGAAAAATACAGCAATCATGTTGCATGTAATGCAAGTTTAGCGAGCCAATCTACACGCTTTCCTCATTTTTTAAAATCTAGAACTTACCCGTCAGAACTTGGAACCTGGAACCTACCCTGTCACAAGTTCCAGGGTAGGTTCCAAAGTCTAATGGGTTCTTTTTTTTATATTTCATTTTTAGTTTAAAAAAATGAAAATGAACGCAACAATATCGAACAAGCTCGTCATTCATCAAAGAGAATACAAAATACTAGTTTTTCCGGTATTACGGTTCAAATAAATACAATTAAAATGAAAAGTCATTGCGTGAATCGATACTAAGGGTCTGTACAGATTCCACCTGGAACCTACCCATGAGAATATGTTCTTCATTTTTTGGAATTTGGAACCTACCCTATCACAAGTTCCAGGTTGGTTCAAGGGTCTACCTAGGTTCCACCACTTGCTGCTTTGATCCACTAATTACAACTTATATTTAGACACACGAAAAATATGAAACATTAACAAATCATAAAATGAAAGCTCAGACTAGTGGTTTTAGATTATACACTCGTCATCTAAAACTATGAAACATCACAGGATTACGTGAAAACATAGATCAAGAAAAAACATAAAAAACTTATTTAGATTTCAGGTTCCAGGTTCCAGGTTCTACCTACCTAGAACCTAGAATCTACCAATTGAAACAGGTTCCCTAATTTTTGGAACTTGGAACATATTTTGCATACATTGGAACCTGGAACTTACAGGTTCTCAACAGTCAAGTTCTCAGATTCCAGGGTAGAATTTGGAGCCATGCTCACCCCTAATGCTTACTGCCTTCCTTCAATGGATGCTGCAAACCCATTTATCCATGATTGGCTTGGTAGTCTGCCCATCGAGCATCGTACCCTTGATTTGGCAAAGCAATTTCAAAACCCAAAGGCTGCGTTTGGTCGACTGGATAAAAGTTAGGATAGGATATGTTTTGTCCTATCCTGTGTTTGGTGGTGGTCCAGGATAGGATAAAGTCGGATATAGACCGGATATAGCCCGGATAAAAAAATCCGAGGGGGGGTAGGATAGACCTGGATAGGATTTCTAATGCCTATTTTTCCAGAAACCCTACGCTCCACTCGCCGTCATCTTCATCCCCACACCTTGTGCGCTTTCACCAAAAAAATTTCTCGGCTTTTTTTCCTTCACCGACTCCTCTGGACCTGTGAATAGAAAAAAAAAAATTATCTTATCCGACTTTAAATCCGTAGTCCACCAAACAGTGGATAGGATATGAAGAAATCCCAGGATTTCTTATCCTATCCTATCCAGTCCTATCCTGTTTAGAAATCCGGACAACCAAACGCAGCCAAAGAACTTACAGAGGAATAGTGAACTGGTTTCTTGTGATTTGGAATTTTTTGTGCTTGCCCGATTTACGGCCTGAGTTTAATAAGTCCTAAATTTATTATAATTATGCCAATTGATGATCATTTACTGTAGAAGCGGAGGGACTTCACATTAATGATATTCTCTTTTACGGTTTAAGTATAAATTTTCCCTTCACTCTATTTCAAAGAGTGAGATTTACGATGCATAGGAGGCTGGTGCATTAATGGCTTCTCTTCTCCCTGGAGCACTCCAAGTTTGACCAGTGAATTCCTGTTCCTCCTTCGCCCAGGCCCCATGGACATAGGCCCATTGTCCAAGCCATGCAAATCACTACCGTGTCATCTTATCACTCTCTACTTTCCTTCACCCAATCGTATGGAGTTGGTCGATTTTGCTTGATCCACATCAGGAAATCCTCTGAAATCTTACTCTGTGTCGCGCTGAATGAGAACTGGATTTCTCAATCACACGCACTTGACGTGCGAGGTTTGAATTATAGTAACTGCTTGGCCAATCCCTATTAGGTTTTTTTGTGAGTGATCCGATCGGTTAGGCATTAATACCTTCTTGTCGTTATTATGTCCTTCAAGATATGAAACTTGAAGTAAAGGAATGGCTTCCAGGGGATGTTGACAATATCAAGGTCTTAACGCATTACTTTGCGGAGTAATGTTATATACGCAGTCCACGTAACTTCTTTCTACGCATCCCCGCATCTCATTGTCGAGATGGACAGTTAGTTATATGCTAAAAATAAAAATACACATATTAATGGTGTTAAATATAGGATGTGCAAAAAAGGGTTACACAATTTGTGTACTTAAACTTTTCAGGAGGTATGGTTAAGGAAATGCTGATAGTGACGATTTAACTTGTTATGTAGATATCCTCATTTCTTGAAATAGTACAAAAGAACTAATGTAAACTAAAAAAAAAAAAGATCGAATTGCTAGTATTCTCCTAAGTGATGATTAACTTTTACTTCGAGATTTCAAATAGTCTAACTGATTAATTTAGAAAATTAGTTCTCGAATTAATTAGGAAAGTAATATTATTAGATAGTTGAATTGTATGAATAGTGGCATTAAGTCTCGACAAAAAAAAAGGTCAATTAAGTCTAACTTATTGACAATTATTTGATAATTAATCATCGGCACATAAGTGACTTGAGGTTGTGTATTCATATTCTCCTCTTAACTCTAGTGAATCCTTGATGACCTTCTGAGCAAACTTCAACAAAATTGACTTGTAATGTTAGCGAATGTTAGAAAAACTTAAATTTATAGATGAAGGGAGATGGGTCGACTTTAATTTGGCTCGGGTGGGATTTTTAACCCCTACCCTCATGTGTAAATCAGAGTGAAATTGCATATGAACGATGCACTTAAAGCTAAAGAACAAGATGTTGCATATTATGAATGATTTTGTATTTTACAAATTATATTTGTGCATACAATTATTTTGTGCGCAAGAATAAGAAAGAAGAAGAAAAATTGGTTGGTCTAACCATTGGCTCAATTGTTGAAGTGACGGTGATTATGTTGCTTGAAAGAGTGTTCAGAATAAATTAAAAATAACGATCGTGTTGCATTAAAGTATTTTGTAGATAAAGCCGATTTATCTAGGACAACAAAAGGGCCAAAATAATGTTGTTTATGCATGATTTTGCTTACTTCATTTCCTTGACGAGCCACATCGGACCATTTAAATTAAATTAATGCTGCGTCGAATTTTCCAACAAGGGAGGTTGCCGATGTCACTTAAGTTAACTTTATTTAAAAGTTATGGAATTCAAGTAATCAATTGAAGTATTTTGGCATTAACATGACCGCCATACGAAAGTTATTGCACTTACGATATCTTTTTCTTTTCAAAGTGTAACTAATGACCTTTAATAGGTGTCTAGATAAATTCTTTAATGTTTTTCATCCAAAGATCCCACTTGCTTTATCCTTCGCTATAATGATTTGCCACTTCTCAAGGCCTTGAAAACTAATTATGAGAAATAGAACAATTTCAGCCCTATAAATAACCACGAAGATCTTAATATTGAAGGGAAGTATCGAGAACCGAAACAGAACGATCACGCAGAAATCAGAGAAAATAGACTATGCACGAATTTACCCAGGTTCACCCTCGAATAGGGCTACGTCCTGCAAAGAGATTTCACTATATTTTCGGTTTACAGCCACTTAACTCCTTACAATGATTAGAAAAACAAGCAAAATATATATGTGCCCCAAACGGGCCAAAAACCTAAACCTATACGAAATCTCTTAATTTCGCACCATACGGGCCAGCTTAAATAAAAGCCCAAACCCGTTGAGGTTTCGGGGGCGCTGCCCCCGAGCCCTCGCCCGCTCACCGGCGAGCGGGGTAGCCGTTCGCTGACTAGGCAGCGGAACCCCCGTCGGGGGAAACTACCCCCGAACCCCCGCTCGCTGACCGGGCAGCGGGGCATCCGTGTCGGGGGCGCTGCCCCCGAATCCCCGCATTCCGCACTCAAGGGTCACATGTCGTCGGATAACACTTTAGTTTCCCTAAACTCACGTGGGAGTACCC